TTCTGTAGAGGTATAACCCCAAAATGCTCTATCACATACTGTCACAGTCTCTTAGGAGGTCCTTGAGTGACCTTCCCATTTCATAGGTGAGGGTACAGGCGCAGAGGACTTCATGGCAGGACCCCAGCCAGAGTCACTGTGTTCATAAGCCTGTCCAGAGAGTACCGGGTCTTATCACTGAAGTTTTCTGCAGGAAAGACCTGGCTAGAATCCCTGAGGAAGCTGAGTGATATGTTTAGGGCTGGTGACTTGGAGAGCTACAGTCTCCCTGGCTTCCCTTGCTGTCTCCAGACTCCACTCCAAGCTCACTCCTCAGCTTGCCGAGCTCCATGTCAGAGCTGACAGCTGTTGCTCCCACCTTGGCTGGGAGGTAGGTTATCCTTTGGACCTTCAGTCTCTGGCTCTGGAGGATGGTCATTGTGCTCTTATTAAGGTATACCTCGTGGACCATGACCCTTTCCTGGGGTTGGTACTTCCTCCCTCTGGTGAGGGCTGTGCAGTCCTGGTAAGGGAGTAGAGGACTGTGTGTTCTGATGGCGCTGTCGTTTCTGATGGCATTTGATCTCTTTCTCCCATTTGCTAGTCTTTTTATTGGGTCTTCTCATGGTTGTCTGACATTCAGGACAAGTGCTGCTGACTCCCCTAAAAGTATACTTCCTGGGCCTCATCTCAGAAGTCCTGAGTTGGAGAATTCTGGGATGGGACTGGGGAAGTTGTATTTCTAGTGCACTTCCCAGGTGATTTCTTCTGCTGTCTACATTTTGTCCAGCACAGCTCGAGAGGGAATAAGGCAGAAGGGATTCTCAGGAAAGCTAATGGTTGTCAGGCTTTCACTAGAGGATTGGGTTCCTGGATTGGAATGCTTGATCTACTCTGTAGGACCCAGGGCTTTTAGCAGCTTCTGGATCTTCTGGTATTAAGAAGTCTACTGAAGGAGCTTTATTTCCTATTTAGCATTTTCCTTGCTGGATGGTTTAAAGATCAGCTTTGAAAGTCTGGACCAAATTTTGAGTCTTAATGCTTTTGAATTAGGTTGCATCAGTTAATCTTCTTTATTTTAATCTTACCAATTTGGAATTAGGACTCTGAATTTTTCCTGCAAATGTATCCAGACTAAGCCAGCAAAAGGAAAATTTAAAGGAAGGAAAGGGGTGATGATTTTACCCTGAGTTCACGTACAAGCTCAGTGCATTTCAATATACAGCCATCAGTCTCTACTGCACGTAAGGTGTGGTGTGGGCCACTAGGAGAGGCAGAGATAAGTTACCTTGCTCCCTGCACTTGAGGTGCTTGTGGACCAGACAGTCAGGGGCCGAGTAGGAAGTGTAAAGTGCTATCATGGCCTCTGAATGGAGTGTTTGGGAACACAGTAAAGATGAAGGTTCTTGCTCTTCTTAGTTTTCTTTGAGTGGGATAGCTGTTAAGGCAAATCCAGGAACTCTGGCAATTCTGGTGACTTGAGTGGACTCAATAACATTTTTTGATTGTTTCCCAAACAGAGAAAAGTCAAGCATGACTAGGTGCTGTGGGAAAAGGAAGGAAAGGTAGCCATTGCCCAAATGCTGAGAAGTGGAGCTTGGACTTCACTGTGTGGGCCAGGTTTCCAGCTGTTCTCTAAACCTTAGCAGCCCTTGGAGGTACCTGAGCCCTTGTACTTGTGGCACTAGGGTTCCTTGAACTATAGGAAGAAGGGAGGGGAAGGACATGTGGAGTCCTGCCTGAAAATCTCTGCCTCCCTATTAGAGGCAGCTCTGGCTGTCTTGTTTTGTAAATTCCAGTCAAGGAATCCATTCTCAGAGATGCTTGGAACATTTGATCCACATAACCACAAAAGAAAAACAAATGCACAAAGAACATGAAATACTCAGCATGTCATTACACGTGGCTGTCTGGATGTTGGGTAGAGACCAAACCTCCAAGTGAGGAGGGCTCAGGGAAAGCCTCCTGGGCTTAGGAGAGCAGCAGCACTAAGTGGTGGCCAGAGGGTCAGGACCCAGTGAGAGAGAGGAGCAAAATTCCCAAGAAGAAGGAGGGTGTCATGGAACCCAGAGGAGGACCAGGGGCAAAGGCGGAAGCCCTTGAGAAGGACCAATGCTTATGACAGTAGAGGTGGCCTGGAGTGAAACATTGGTGCCATTTGCTAGGTCAGTGATTTGTGGGAGAAGGGCCGGAGGCCAAATTTCAGTGAGCTGAGAAGTGAGGCATTTCCAGTGGATTGGCTGGGTATAGCCAAGAGCAAAGTACTCTGCAGGAATGGGGGTAACATATATCTTCAGCCTGGGGATGTGGAGGCCTCCTGAGCCACGGGTGGATTCTCATGGGATAAGAAGCATTTTTGGTGGTCAACAAAAGGAAGGCCTCAGTTGTGTGCCAGCCTGGTAAGGACAAATGGAAAGATCTGAGATCAGGGGCATGCTGGCCTGTGTACACTGGCATTTATGTGAAGGAGTACTTTTTAGCCTTGATGCTGGGTTATGAATTACTATACTTTGGTTGACCCAAGGGCTAATAACAGAGAGCAGATAACATGGGCTCAGTTCCATATGGGTGTGATCATCTAGGAGGCTGAGACAGAGGAAAACCTGCTTCTTTCAGCCACGTCTCTCAGGACTGGCCTCTTGGGGAGGGGAAGCAGTGGTGACCAACACATGGCAAGAAGCTTGGCAGTACAGAAAGAGAGAGAAGGAGTGTTAGGGGCAAGACCCTGGCCCTGGCAGAGGGGTGGTGATGGAGAGCGGGTGGGTGTGAATTCGAGCTGGGGCCGGGGAGAGGGAAGAGTGAAGCAGCTCATTCATGATTCCTATGCTTCTTCAGGGAAATGGACTTTCATCTGCTTGAAGAGTACCTGTGATCAGGAATGAATGAGTCAAGGGTCCTGAAGCCTGTGGGAAATCCTACAATCGTCCAATGGGGAGGGAAGTTGTGATTGAGGCTAATGGATTTCTAGAGAATCGAAACATGGCTGTGATGTGATTTCCTCTCAGCGTCTGCTTTGGAGGAACAGCTAGAACTGCAAGGAGGGATTTGGGCAGTGGTCACAGCTGCCACCTCCTGCTGGTTCTGTTTCTTTGGACAAAGGTTTCTTTTGACCCTCAACTTCCTTCTCCTTCATCTCCCTTCTGCTGTGGGTGCCTCTGAGATTGGGTAACTGTCTCATAAGTTGACAGTCACCACACGCCATTACCTGGAAGGCTGTGACACTGTTGGTGACACCGTTCATGGTGATGAATCCTTCCTAGGTCTCCCCGCTCTTGCCTGGTTAGACACCCAGCTCTTTGAAGAGTGTTTGGGTCCCTGGGTCTTTTCAGAGGTCACCTGACTGTTGGTTAAGTGGGCATCTTTCCACTCCACCCACCCACTGGCGGGTGCTAGACCAGTGAAAAGATAGCTTTTTGTTTTCTCAGGTAATGCTATCAGTTTGTCTTACCCATATCTACTTCCAGTATTCACATGAGAGGAGAGAAGAATTGCAATATTTCATCTTTAGCTATTTAGTAAGATTGGGGTCAGCAACAAGGCCACTGTCCCTATATCTCCTAGAGCTCTATGGGAGTCAGTTCTGTAACACCTGCTGAAAATATTTGTAGTTGTGTTGCCTCCGTGGAGTTCTGGGTGTATGTATCAAGGTGTTAGACCTTTGACTCTGCCATTAAAGATGGTAGGCATTCCTCCTGGGTTCTGCGGGACTCATCAGGGACAACATAAGCGTTGAACAGAGCCTTATTGGTCTGAACTAGGGTAGCATGCTCCCTAGACCATCTGAGTCTAGAAAAGATACCATGATGTTCAGGGATTTCTGTGGGCTTCAGCTAGCCCAGACCAGAGTTGGGGTTTCTCTCAGGATGAGTGCCGGGTACCCCAGTGGTGAGTTAGCATCATACGAAAGGCAGGGAGTGTAGGAATTTGCCCATGCAGTTTGGTTCGCCGCAGCCCACTTTTGCCCGGATATGTCCATTTTGTTTGTTTTCCCAGACAAAGAGTTCACTGTTCGGCTGGAAACCGACAAGCGGCTGCACACGGTGGGTGAGCCAGTGGAGTTCAGATGCATCTTGGAGGCTCAGAACATTCCCGACCGTTACTTTGCTGTCTCCTGGGCCTTCAACAGCTCCCTCATTGCCAGCATGGGGCCTAATGCTGTGCCAGTTCTCAACAGCGAATTTGCCCACCGAGAAGCCAAGGGACAGCTTAAAGTGTCCAAAGAGAGCGACAGTGTCTTTGTGCTGAAAATCTACCACCTCCGCCAGGAAGACAGTGGGAAATACAACTGTCGTGTGACGGAGCGAGAGAAAACTGTCACTGGGGAGTTCATCGACAAGGAAAGCAAGCGCCCCAAGAACATTCCCATCATTGTCCTCCCCCTCAGTAAGTGGAGAAATGCATTGCCTGCTTGTTTGTCCTCCCTGGGTCCCTTAGTCAGTGGCTGCAGTCACTAGGAGAAGTAGAGGGAAGAAAGCAATACATGGAACTCGGGTAAGGCAGAGAGAGAGAGAGAGCACCGCTGAGCCTGTCAGCCTCCTCCAGCCCTCTGCCCACACTCAGCCCCTCAGGTACCCAGAACATCGTGGGTGTCTCTGGCTAGGGCCTGCAGACTTGAGCTTGAGCAGCTGAGTAAACATTGCTCAGTCTGGAGAAAGGCCATGCCCGTGATGCTCTTTGCTCCTCTGTGGGAACTAAGTTCTAGAAAAAGTGGGCAGAGGCTTGTCTCGAAATCTCACTTGAGGAGAGCTGGTCTCCTGTATGAGGATTTCAAATCGTAAAGTACATTATAAAGAGGGATTTGATGTCTGGGGTTTTCCATGTAGAAAGGGGGATGTTTCCCTGATTGTCCTCACTGGGAAGTTGCGTTATGACAAGTCAGTGGCTTTGTACAGCGTTTGCCTAGCATGCTCCAGACCTTAGGTTCCATCCCCAGTCCTGAAAAAGAAGTAGTGGGTGGGCTCTCCTGCATTCCTGGGGTGGACCTTTGTAAGCTCAGGCTGCCTCAGATGTTGCTCAGGTGGGCCCTACCTCCTTGTAAGCTGACGTTATTATCTGCGTGGAGAGAGCCTTGTGGGAACTCCAGAGATGACTGGTGTTTGTGCATGTCCTATTTAAATGCCCGTAGTGTTATGGTGTTTCTATTAATCTCCTTTCTTTCATAGTTCTGTTTTTAGTAAGAGGATAATACAAATTAACAATGCTCTAATTTTAAATAAGGTGGTAAAGTTGTGAAACTAACCTTTAACTTTTTCTCAGATGCTCAAACTGTTCTTTCTGTTAACCTTGTAATCATTTCCTTTACATTTTCCTTTACATTTTTCATATTTAAAATACTTCTCTTTGGGCTGGGGATGTAGCTCAGTGGTGCTGCACCTGCCTCCCAAGCGCAAGGTCCTGAGTTCAATCCCTGGTACTGCAAAAAAATTCTTAGTGTGAAGTCAAAAATAGAGACAGGACACTTGTCACTCTTCTCATCAACAGGATTAGTTTCTTTCAGTGCTTTTTTTTTTCTTTAAAAAAACCTATACACGTACCCTTAATTACCTTGAAATTCTATTTCTTAGCCTCCCCCTCCCACCTCTACCCCGCAATGCCTAGCATGGTGCTTTGCATAGAGTAGGTGCTTGCTGAATATTTGTATAATTGAAACTGTTGAGTTGAATCCCCAGTCTCTTTATTATTTTCCTGTTGGTCTGTGCTTGCCTTAACCACGGACTCTCTACTTTAAAATCTGTAACTAATTCCTCATTGTTTTGTAAGGATGGAGCGAAGGGCAGCCACGCTGATTACTTCCTGTATCTTTTGTACTAAAAGATTTCCCCCAAATCCCTTCCGAGAACCTGTTTGATGATCTGTGGCCTGCTATATTGCTTTTCCAGCAGATAACTGGGTAGTTAAAGTCCCCCAGCACCACCAGATCCTGTCCCAAGGCCACTTGGGTAAGTCTGCCAGAGAACGACAACAGTCACATCGGTAATGGTGATCATACCTTGGATTTTAATGACGCCTTTTCTCCCAAGAGCCCCAAATGCTTCTACATAAATTGTCTCCTTCTCTGCTCCCACCTCGCAAATCCCTGTAGAGGCCAATGTTGTAGCTACCTTATGAATAAAATCAGAGCACCACTCAAGGAAGGGACTGAGCCTATTTATTGTGCAGTTAGCAGTCGAGCCTGCATTGCATTCGACACATTTGCTTCTAACTCCAAATCCACTGCTCTGCGCTTAGCTTGTGCGACACCGTCAGCCTCTTGATTTGAAATTTTCGTCTGTGAACATGAACTGAGATTCTCATTAGTTCTGTCCTAGTTTTCACTTAATCCAGAGTTTTATCTTGTTGGCTGCCTTTTTACAGGCCTGGAAACCCATGTAAGTCGCTATAATGTGCAGTGCAGCCCTGGTCTGTGGCTGACAGGTGGCTTTTCTTATAACTGTGAGTTTTTTCCAGGCTTTCTCCAAACAGCAGCCCTTAGAATAACAAGCCAGTACTTTGATAGGAGTCCACTGGAGTGACAGAAAGGTCATTCTTCTGCATAAGACAAGCAAAAGGATGCCCTTCTCTCTTTGGGCTGAAGTCACCCTTTAATCCATCAGTATGAATTAATAACAGTAGGGATATGTCTTTATCCTAAAGAGGATTATTATTATTATTATTATTATTAATGATGAAAAACAAGTACCTCATCTGATCCTCTCAGTGTCATGATCCTAAGAGTTGGGCACTATTAGTACCTTCATTTTGCACAGGAGAAATTAGAGTTTGGAAAGGTAAGTAGGAACCTCAATACTAGAGTTAGGATGTAGTAACCCGAGCTCCAGATCTGTGCTCTTAACCACTCGAGCTGTAGATGGGGCTCTGCAGGAGCCTCATCATCTCTGAGAATCGCCTCAGTGAGACTCCTGGGGGCAGTTGCCCTCCCGGAAAACCGCCCTCCCCACCTTGTACAGATCTTATTTTTCACATGAATCAAGCACATCCAGAATGGGTAGAAGCATATTTCCCATAACTGGAGCTCAGTGGTGAGGCTCAGTGCTCGTCTTTGTTTCTGCTTGTGGGGAAATAAAGGGGAGAAAAGATTGATTCATATGTGTGTGTGTGTGTGTTTCCATCAGTAATCAGGTGTGCTTCCTAATCTGGTATTTGATTTAATTGATTGATTTAAAATTACTATAAGTATTTCATGCCCAGAAAATTGAAGCCAAATTAGTTATGGTACTGATCTTTGTGTTCTTTAATACTCATTGGCCTTTTAAACTCCATGTAGGTAATTATACAAAATAATATATGCATAATTAAGATTAGGATATCCATGCTGTTTATAAGAACAAAAATTTATTAGAGATAGTAAAATTAATCATCATCACGTTGACCACTTTTGAAAACTCACAATGTGTTAAGTAAACTGTATACATTGTTGCATTTACACTTTCATCTTTGAAAAATTCTGCAGTGAAAGGTAGCATTCTGCCTATCTTAGAGAAGAAACCAAAATGTGTAGAGTTTAAGCAGCTCAGTTGAGTGAGATCAGCTGCTGAGATTAGTAGCAAAGGGTAGACTGAGGCACCGAGGAGCGGGATCCCTCCACAAACTGGCAGATGTTTCCAGGTAGAGAGAAGAGGACCTCAGGGCTGAGTGAAGACAGACAGGAGAATGGATGATGATGAGCCCCTGGCTTTGGTTTATTCTGTGTTAGTGGAATTACAAGAGCTCACCCCCGCTCACTGTGAGAAACCAAGCTGTCTGTGTGTCACTGTGATACACACACAAGCACAACCGATCTTCCAAATACTCCCTGGCATTTTTTTGTCTGCTTTCTAATATTCCTCTGAAGGACTCAAAGGATACATTGTCGATGGTCAGCTTTTATTAAACTACTTTCGCACTGAGTGGCGGGAAGACTGAGGTGAAGTAGGATCTGGGAGTTAATTCATTTTGCTGGAAGTTTTGAACTCCAGCTAGATAGGTTACTCTGTAAAGTGTCTTATGTCATAACATGTCATTGTGCTGCATTTCTTAGGCTCTGACTCAGTCTCCAAACCTCATTGTCCCAGGCCTCTTCATGTAGCAAAGAACAGCCTAGGTTGTCAGATCAAGAATCATGGGGAGCGATGCCTACAACCAGCTAGATCTTGCGGCAGGAAATGTCAGAGTATTTTTTATCCTCTGAGCTCACTGTCCATGACTAGGGACTGTGGATTGCATTTGCACACGTCCCCTGGTGACATCTGTGGGAGGGCACCGTGAAAACCACACCGCCCCCAACACGCCATCTCTCCTCTCCTCAGAGAGCAGCATCTCCGTGGAGGTAGTGAGCAACGCCAGCCTCATCCTCGAGGGCGAGGACCTGCGCTTCTCCTGCAGCGTCCGCACGGCGGGCAGGCTGCAGGGCCGCTTCTCTGTCATCTGGCAGCTCGTGGACAGGCAGAGCCGCCGGAGCAACATCGTGTGGCTGGACCGCGATGGCACTGTGCAGCCAGGCTCATCTTACTGGGAGCGCAGCAGCTTCGGGGGCATCCAGATGGAGCAGGTGCAGCCCAACTCCTTCAGCCTGGGCATCTTCAACAGCAGAAAGGAGGACGAGGGCCAGTACGAGTGTCACGTGACTGAATGGGTGCGGGCGGTGGACGGCGAGTGGCAGGTCGTGGGGGAGCGCCGCGCCAGCACTCTGGTCTCCATCACAGCTCTAGGTAAGTGACAGGTGGGACGCTGTCCAGGCTGCTCGTGCACCGGGCGGCTCACTTTGACCCGATCGGAGTTCTGGCAGGGCACCGTGGCACCTTCTAGCGGAAGAACTCCTTAGGGTTCTGTGGGCAGGGTGAAGGAATCAACAGTGGATGGTGGGGCATCCAGAGGCAGCAACCTGGGGAGCTCTTCCTTTTTCTAGGGCTGAGGTTCAAGTTGGATTAGGGCCACCGCCCAGCAGGGCCGAGGCTACCGTCAAATCTGCCTGGTAGAGAGGTAGAGGAACAACCAAGTTCCACAGCTCCTCTCTCTGGGCCTCCCTGGTCTCCTGCCCACGGCCCAACCCTTCTGACAGCAGGCAGAGCAGGACAGGAAATTCCCTTCCCATTTATTTAGCATTGGTGTGTTTCTGGCTCCGCAACTACTCGAGTTTAGCTGTGCTACTGATGCCTCACCAAGCCAAGTTTCATTTTTCAGAAAACTAAGAAAGGGTAACTAATTTGCCCAAGATTACAGTTTTTAAATGGCTGACCCACCGCCTGAGCCCAGGAAGCCAGCATTCCATCTTAATAGTTTTCAAGGCTTGTGCTTTTATCCACTCCTCTCTAAGGCAGCCCCTACTTAAGAAGTCCATTTCCTTATTAGCATGAAATAGAAAGATAACCTTGAGATTTGCTAAAACTAAAGAATATTAGATTTGCTTCTTGAGGGGTGGCTAAAAAGGCTTCTGTCAACTTTTATCTGCCAAATGCAATCAGTATATTAAATTTTAAAAGACCAGCCTACTACTTTGCTGCGCAGATAACTTGTCTCCTGTTCACCAGGAGGCCAGCACCAGTTATCCTCAGCATCCCACCCCACTCTCAGGGACGCTGTCTCTGTTTTCTCACAGGGAGAGCTGGTGGTACTGTCAGAACATCCAGTAAAGACAGCAGCGCTGCCAGGCGTGATGGTGCATGCCTGTAATCCCTGCACTTGGGAGGCTGAGGCAGGAGGATCGCTGTGAGGTCGAGACTAGCCTGGGCTACATAGTGAGTTCCAGGTCAGTCTCAACTACATAGTGAGTGAGACCCTGTCTCAAAAGCAAGCAAACAAACAAACAAACAAAAAACAACAAGACAGCAGCCCCCACTGGCTTTGCCTGAGACCAAGTCCAAGTCTTCCACTTCGCTACCTCTCTGGGATGAGGATTACATTTGCTCTCTGAAAGCTTAAGCCAGAGATGATGGCTCTGCTCTTTGCAGTAATCGTATGGCTCAGATTTGTGTCTTTAGAAACCCTCTAGCGATTATGGTTCCTGATTATTTCAATCCCTGTTCCTGTGTGCTGGGCACCAGAGGGGAAAGCTCAGAGCGTCCCACGCTGCTAGCGCTGGCAGGGTAGGTGCATCAGAGCATGGTTACAGTGAGTCTGGTTACTTTCTCCAGGAGTGTTTTGCCATCTCCGGTCAGCCTGAGAGCATTGCTGTCCTTACCGTGTCTAGCGTTCCCCACAGCCAAGGTGGTCTGAGAGGGCTGTGATGGGTCCCTGGGGCCGGCCCTGCCCGTCTGACTCCTCCCCCAGGACGCCTCTGGCAAAAGCCATAATCCGGGCGGCCCAGAGCAGTGGCCCAAAGTGGTGGGCCAGGGAAGATCAGGCGAGCACCGCGGACTAAGGTCTTCTCTGTAGTTGGTGCGTTTAGGTGCAATCTGCTCTCTGTGGAAGGGGACAGTGATAAGTTGCGTGGGTGAGAGAGTGAGTGGTTCCAGACACCCACAGGGTGTTAACGACTGTGCATGTGAACCGGTTCACCTGTAGTCAGTGACTGTGGCGTGCGCCCCTTCAGGCTGAGAGTCATGGTGTAGAGAGGCTGCCTCCGTGGAGGTGAGGAGTGTCTAAAGACTGTTTTTTTAAGGATGCACATTATGACATCTGGATCGGAGCTCCTGAGTTTTCAGCCCATTTGGCCCACCTGTTCTCTCACAACCTCCCCCTGGAAAGGAAGAAGGCTCATTGTGTGCCTTGCCTTTCATCTGTAAAGTTTACTTTCCTTCATGTCCCTTTTGTTTCTTAAGCAAACATAGTTTTGAAAAGTAATGTGCCAGATACCGTTCTAGGCATTTCACAGATGTTTATTCCATCTTCACAAGGACTCATTTTCCAGATGGGGAACTGGCAGAAAGAAGTTAGGTCAGTTGTTCAATGTCCCACAGCTAGGAGGTGTCCCGGTTGGACAGCTGGTTGAGGCGTCTGTGTCCCTAAACGCTGTGCTGCCCCAGAATCAGGTCCATGCAGGTTTGTAGCCTGATTCTGCCAGTTCCTAGTACCTTGGTGTCGGACGGTTTATTTCACTTCTCTGTGCCCTGTGAAAGGTGACACTTAGTCTTCTTTCCTTACTCAGTTGTTGGATTCAGTGAGGTATGGTGTGATCAAGGGGTTGGCGCCATGCCTAGCACATAAGTGGTGCTCAGTGAATTCGGCTGCTACTAGTTTTATGATTATATTCGGTGTACTAATAGAGAATAGTGTTTCTGGACTGAAGGAACCCAAGGCACTTGTGTGGAGGAGTCCGAGGGCTTAGCAATGCTGCCCATTCAGTAAGGAATACTGAGAGACTCACACCCGCTGAGACTGCAGAACCCTGAATTATGGGCTGTTGTTCCCGCCTCATCTGAGGTTGCCACCTGCTGAAGAGCAGTCCCTCCTGCCGTGGGTCCCTTACTGCCACTCTGCCCTGGGGCTGGAGGGCCCCTGCTGCATCTGCCTCTCTTTGGGACACCCAGACACTAGAGGGCCAGCGAAATGGGTAGACTGGTGGATGTGCACTGGCTTTGGGGCCTTTTTCTCCTGTTTTTGCACGGAATCTGGTTTTCTAGACATGGCCCTGGCTGCTGTAAGCGGCCCGTGAAAGGCAGTGGTGTCTGGTTCTGGAGGAGGACTTAATGCAGGTCCACACAAAGATCTCCCTGGGAGGGGTTGGCAGGTGCTATGCTCAGAGAATTGCCCTGGGCTTCTTCCTGCAGGTTTTGGAGACTAAGGAACATTAGCCCCAGTGTGAAAAGAAAGCTCAAAAGAGCCTTTGGGCTTCTGCTGTGTACTGTGGCTTTGCCAGTCACCCTGTGGCCGACATCACCTACCCCAAGAAAGCCAGGTGCCTCCTCTGGTTGAATCTCTCTGCTCTCTGTCCAGAAACAGGCTTTGCAGTCACAGCCATCTCCCGGACACCAGGGGTGACCTACAGCGACTCCTTTGACTTGCAGTGTATCATCAAGCCCCACTACCCGGCCCGCGTCCCTGTGTCGGTGACATGGCGCTTCCAGCCAGTGGGCACTGTCGAGTTCCACGACCTGGTGACCTTCACACGGGATGGAGGGGTCCAGTGGGGGGACAGGTCCTCCAGCTTCCGGACCCGGACCGCCATCGAGAAGGCCGAGTCCAGCAACAACGTCCGCTTGAGCATCAGCCGGGCCAGTGACACCGAGGCGGGCAAGTACCAGTGCGTGGCTGAGCTGTGGCGGAAGAACTACAACCACACCTGGACCCTACTGGCGGAGAGGACCTCTAACCTGCTGGAGATTCGAGTGCTGCAGCCAGGTGGGTGCTGCTGGCCCGAGGGTCTCCCGGCCCCGGGGCCCCAGGAGGATCGTGCATCTGTGACAGGGAAAGACGCAAACTCTCCAGTGAGATGCGGTGTGATGTGTCAAGACACATGAGGGCGTGCCTTACAAGGCCTTAGGAGATGTGCAGAGGGAAGGGGTCAGTGCATTAGGCTCTGTGTCTGAGCACTTTGAGAAATTTCCAGTCGATAGGAGGTGGCATGAATCGTAAGTGAGCATTTGGATTCCCTCTCGGTGACAACCAGTTATTAACATCTTGCCACACTCACTCTTTTCCTCTTGTATTTTGTTACTGTCTTCGGACCATTTGAGAGTATGGTGTGGACGTCAGGACACCCCCTGCATTCTCCACTGTATAACCCCCCAGAGCAGGAGATCGTCCTGCCCACCACGACACCATTTTCAGCTGTGGGAGTTCAGCATTCGCATCGTCCCTCACCTCCATTTCCCTACTGGGCCAGTAATGCCATTGGTAGCTCTTTTTAACCCCAAGCAGGATTCAGTGAGGGACCATACATTGCATTTAGTTGCCCTGTCTGTTTAGGCTCATTAATCTAGGACAACCTCCTAGCCCGTGTGTGTGTGTGTGTGTGTGTGTGTGTGTGTGTGTGTGTGTGTGTGTGTTTCGCCTTGTGTTAAGATATTGACATTTATGACACGTGCCAGTCATTTATTTTGTGGACAGTTCTATCTACTTAACCTCATTTCCTGTAGTCCTTTCAATGATTATATGAAAGACGTATCATTGTTCCCCTGCTTATAGACAAGGAGACTCGAAAGGAAAAGGAAAGATAATGGACCCTTATTGAGCATCTGCTTTTTGCTCAGTGCCGAGGCTGAGTTGTTTTGTTAGAATTTCACAGCCCCAGGAAGGATGAAGCGACACAGGGAGAAGCTAGTTGGTGACAGGTGTGGAACCTTATGGACTTTGTGCCATCCCCTCTGCTTCCTTGACTCGGGACCTGTCCACATGGGCTGGATTTGAGTGCCTTTCTTCTATGGAGGCGGGTGTAAAGAGGCAGTGCTTTGCAGAAGCTTCCTGCAAATGCCATCAGTTGCTTCTGCTAATGTGCTCGAGCTTTTCATTACACAGTGCTCTTAAGGTTTCCCCCTGCATCTGTCTCTGCACCTGCTAGGCCAGAAGCTGGTAGAAGCGCAGCCCAGACTGTAGGTCCTGCCTCCCTCCTGTTGCCGAGCCCAGGTGTGGGATGGAACAGGTCCCCCACAGTGAGTACGGCTGCACTTTGCAAAGACCTTTTTCTGACTTTCTGACCCACTTACTTTGCGAAGATGGTTTGAACCCTTTACAAAAGGGATTTTGGCTTTGTCTGTTTGTAACTATGATAAGTACCTAGCCTGGTCCCCTAGCTGTCTTCAGATGGCCACAGCAATACAAGATTAAATAACAGTAATGTCCAAGTTGATCCCTCCTGTTTTCTGAGCCCACGAAAGAGGCCTGTTCTGTAGAAGTTTTGAAACAAGTAAGTTCCATAAATGATGACACTATTCTTGGCTAATTAGAGCCCGAACCCAGGTCAGCAGGATGCTAGGGTTAACAGCTGTTTTTAAGAGGATGGGCAGGTTAATGCAGGGTTAAGCAGAGACCTTGTATGTTGTGAGTCCCCGCTGTGGGAGATGCTGAAGCCCCACTTGCCTGCCTTATTGAGTAGAACATTAAGATCATGATCCTGCCCTTTGTTATTTCCCCTGTCACTCAAGGTCGATGTTCTGAGCAGCAGTGGCTGTCACGTGGTTCTGAGTGGTTGAAGGTAGAGGAGATGCTGACCTCAAGACCTTGGTTGTCATTGCCTCTTTGAATAAAGTAATATTTGCCAGCTTCTTGTACTACTTGGAGTCTAAGACTGGAGCACCTAAGGGACAATTATGGAATTAATTCACTAAAGGTTGTCATTATTTGGATTCTGATTAAGTTATGATAGTACTAAAGGCTGAATGGGAAAGAAATTTATGAAGTACTCCTGGGTGCCAGGTTTTGTGTTCCATGTTCTCTTTAAGCTCCCCCAACAATCTGATAAAGTGAATGGCTCTGTGCCAGTTTTGCTATGAAGAAACCAAGGCTCACAGTGGCTGGGCACTTGGCAAAGGCCAACTAACTGACTGGTTAAATGGCAGAACTGAGATTTGAGCTGAGCATGGGGCTGAGGTCTCTCTGACTTCCACACATCTGTGTTTTCTGTTACACCATATTATTGCCTCCTAGAGGAAGGATAGCTGGAGCGCGTTAGAAGGCCCAGGATCCAAGTCTGTCCTCATGATTTGTGTGTGTTCTGTTGATTTCTGTTTATGTTTCTGCTGTGAAGTGAGAATGACCAGTGGTTGGCATAGAGGACTTCGGGGCATCGTTGGCCTGGGGCTATGATGAGGCCTCGGCTTAAAGGGGCAGAGTAATGTACTCTCCTGGTCCCCCGAGGCTGGAAAGAGCAAAGGTAGGAGCTTGAGGCTGCCCAGGACTCCCAGAGTGCCTGAGGCACCAGGGAGAGTGCATCTCCTTTAGTGTTGCTGTCTTTCCTTTATTAAATATGGATGGGCCTAGCACTTAATATTTTCCAAAGTGCTGCAGGTTCATTTCTCCTCTTTTCCCTAAATACATTGGTTGGTACTGGTGCTTTCATTTTGGAAAAAGAAGTAGAAAAATACATGAGAGCTGGAGACGGTCTTCCATTTAGTGTGTTTTCTCACCAAGCTTTCGCTGCGACCTTGGGAGGAAGGTGTTATGGGGTAGGTCTGAAAGGGCCCCCTGAGTCTCGTGTGTGTGGAAGGTGACTGAATCAGGAGTGTTCTACTCACCGGTGGGTTCATCACAACTGACCGGAGGCAGTGGAGGAGGCTGGCCACAGGAGGTGTGCTTGGGAGGGTGTGTCTCCCTCCCTGGCTTCTCCTTTCACCCTTTGCTCCTGGCTGCCGGTTCCCCACCATGCCTTTCTGCCTTGGAGTCAATCCACCATGGACTGAATCCTCTGAAAACCATTGTGGTCATCATGTATTTTGTTGCAGCCATGGGAAAGCTGGCTGATACTGGAGGCATTTCATTTTCATCTGATAAATGAAATGTCACAGGCTCGGAGGTTCTAGTTTGCCCATGCCAGAGTGACAGTAAGGGGGTTAGAAATTGAACCCAGGTACACTTTATTAAAGAATTATGGGGTTGGGGCTGTAGCTCAGTGGTAGATCACTTGCTTACCGTGTCCCAGGCCCTGGTTCAATCCACACACACACAAACAACATTGCGGTAGGGAGGCTTTGCCCTGTTATGAGGCCATATAATCAGAATTCCTTCTGCATTCAGCTAAAGGGTCCTTTACTTAAGAGGTTTCCCCTGTAGGTTGCTGGTGCAGCAGTCTTAGCACCATTGGGACTAGCAGTAATAGCAATAGCAACATCAGGGATACCTGATAAGTATTCAGCATTTCTGAGTGGCCATCACCATCCTGAATGTACTATATCTAATAACTTACTTGGTTCTTTCTTACCAACTCCATGCAGTGTCCGAGAGGGTACCACCCCACCTAGTTTATCAGGACACTGCCCTGAGAAACCACCCAGTGATCCATAATAACTGGCAGAGCCAGGTGTCAATCTGAGTCCGAGACAAAGTTCTTAATATTCTTAATATTAATTAATATTAATATATACCTTCTAGACATAGTGCCATATTTTTTGTTTGATTTTTTTCGCTCAGGAATCTTTTTGGGACCATGTATGTTGCAAGTGCATGTGTGTGTGTGTGTGTGTGTGTGTGCACATATGTGGGCTGAGGATTGAATGCAGGGCATGGTGCATGCAAGGCACACGCTCTATGCCTTAGCAGCATGTATGTTTATATAACGCTTCCTCGCTCTGGTTTACCACCCTGATTTCCAGATCCTTAAGATCTGTAGAAGTTGGCTCACTGAGCACTTGTAAATCCTCAAGTCAAGCTGAGGATTATGCAGGGCATGGTGCATGCAAGGCACACGCTCTATGCCTTAGCAGCATGTATGTTTATATAACGCTTCCTCGCTCTGGTTTACCACCCTGATTTCCAGATCCTTAAGATCTGTAGAAGTTGGCTCACTGAGCACTTGTAAATCCTCAAGTCACAGACGGTTAAGGACATAGAAGTTTAATTTGTTCCTCATTGAACTTCATTATTTCTTCTGACTTCTGCCACAAGGTGGCTCTAAGGCTTGGGGCTACCAGAACCTTAATCAGTGCTAGCTTCTTCCACTCTCCCTGCAAACCCTGTCCCTCAAAGCATGGATTCTTAGCCCTGCTCTGACATCTTCCATAGAAATGCCCCCTGTCACCCACTTAAAGACCGTGTTGTCAAATGTTCTTATTCTAAGAATGAATGAGAAGCCCAGGATGAATCCATTTATCATCGGCTTCCACTGCAGCACTGTCCTCACAGGAATGTCCTCTCTCTCGGGAAGGCTCTGTGTGGTCACTGCCCAGGCTGGTCCCTGCCGGAGCCACCTGCTGATCCTGACCACATCCTAAGAGCTTAATCCCCCAGAATCCCTGGTCAGACAGCCCGGTCCACTTGCTGTGGATCTGTTACTGATGTTCCATTTGCACACTTCCTGTTCTGGGTGCACATCCCCAAGGAAATTTTTAAGGAGTGAATTCCCTCCCTTCCTTTTTTTGTCAATTTGGCCTGGTCTTACTCCCGGTGATCGCATAGTGTGACTCCCAGGAGGCATTTAGGCAAGACTTTTAGCCAGTTCACAGTACTCTATTCTTAATCTTTTTTTTCTTTTTCCTTTTTTAATTTGTGAAGCGTCACCTTGTTTCCTTCTGATTGGCTTTAGCTCCAATTACACATTACTAAATACAGACACAATAAGGGAAATGTCAGCACTCAGTTTTGCAAATGTTTACAACCATATCTTGGTCTGGCTATTAAATATTGCACATTAAAATCGACAAAGCAGTAAACAAGCTTCCAGGAGGACGGCCTCCGGTGGCAGAGAGCCG